TTCCTGCCCCTTACCTTACTAGACTTAGCTCCTTAGCCTTTATTCCACCAACCACAGTACACGTTTGTTTACTTGCTTGCTTGGTGTTACCTAGCTCCCCATTCTAGAACATTGGTTCCATGAGAACTGGAACTGTGTTGTGTTCAGAGCCAGATCCCCACCACCTCACCTGGTTGTAGTCCCAGAACTGGAGCAGAGTGCTCAATCAATGTTTGCTGAATGAAGACATGAATGAAGAACTACTTAGGAGTTATGCCAAATACCCCCCTTTCCCCATGTGAATGAACAGGAGCAGTCTGGCTCTAGGACTTGGTGAATGAAAGACTAAGACTGTCAGGTGTCCGATCGTGCTCAAACTTACAGCCACCCCAGGCGGCTGGCGTGGTACTCAGGACACGGCAAGTGTGAGATGCTACATGAGAAAGCACATCTAAAGAGAACAGACAGAAATTATGTAGGATAGAAATACCTGGTTTTCGAAATCAGAGCAAACATACTGCTTTCAGAAGTTTCACTGCCCAAAGCAAGTGCTGTTAAGACAAAGCTACATGACCCTTCCGTCAGTAGCTTTTCTCATTCGGTAAGTCTCTTCCCTTTCAAGGATACAAAAACGATCTTTTTCCCCCCTTTTTAAGTTAGCAGTACTTTACTATATACATTGTCTTATACCTTGATCTTTACTACCATATACATCTTTTCATTTCTACACATGCAGTTCTCACTGAAATCCATCACATTCTGGAGCATATGTATTCTGCTTTGCTTAACCAACTCCCGTCTATCGACATCTGGAAGATTTAAAAATTTTTACTTTTACAAAAATTTTATTGAATTTATTGGGGTGACACTGGTTAATAAACTTACACAGATTTCAACTGCACAATTCTATCATGCATCATCTGAATACAGTATTGTGTGTTCGCCACCCCAACTCAAGTCTCCTCTCATCACCGTTCCCCCCTTACCCCCTCCTACCTCCCCCCACGTCTCTTTCCCCCTACTAATCACCATACCACTGTCTGTGCCTGTAAGGCTTTTTTCTTGCTTCACCCCTTCACCTTTGTCACCCAGCTCCCCAGTTCTTCTCCACTCTGACAGCTGTCAGTCTGCTCTCTGTATTTACGAGTCTATTTTGTGTGTTTGCTCACTAAATTCCATGTATAAGTGTAATCATATGGTATTTGTCTTTCTCTGACTGGCTTATTTCACCTAGGATAATATCCTCTAGGCCCGTTCATGCTGTCACCAAAGGTAAGATTTCCTTCTTTTTCACAAAAGCAGCCTTATAAATGAACTGAAAACATTCATTAAGAGAAAACATCGAGGAGGGGTTAAAAGCATGGATTCAGGACCTGACTGCCAGCATTCAAATCCCATCTCGCTACTTCCTGTCAACATAACTTTGTTGACACAACTTATTTAATTTCTGTGCCTCAATTTCCTTTCTGAGGATTGGATCTGCTGACATATGTAAGGCACTCGGAAGAGTACTACGTGTTTATGCTTCCTATTATTATTCTTTTAAAAATAGGTAGGAACTAGTTTTCCCAAAGAAGTCTTACCCTCCTCTTCCTTCAATATTAATCAAACAACACACTGAGTACCCACTATATGCTAAGCACTGCGACAGGAGCTTGGCGTGCGAAGGTGAATACAAATTGGTTCAGCCTTTGTTATGCTTGCAGTTTATTAATGAGCATAAGCACTCCTGGGCTGATGTTACAGGGACTCCAGGTCTCTAGAAGTGGGGCAGGGGCACCGGACAAGAGGTTTTCCAGGCAGGTGCCCCCACAACTGCAGCTCCTCACCTCTGATTTTAAAGTTGAAATAAAAGAAAGGGCTCTCTCTTTGTGTTAGCATCCATGGTAAGCAAAGAGTCTACTACCTGCACACACTGCACTTCTGAAGGTTTAATAAGCAATGCTGGATTCCCACGGTGAGCCAGGAAGTTGAAGAGCTGACAAGCTCTTCATGACACGGTCCCTGCTACCTGTCCTGCCTTGGTTTTGCCACCACCTAACCTCTCACCCCCACACCTTCAGTCCTGGCCTTTGGATCTCCCCAGAGGGCTTCAGACCAGCCGGGCTGTTCCACACACCACGGTGCCTTTACGTAAGCTGCCCCCTCTGCTGAAATTCTTACCTCTGCCTTCCTGGGCTACCCAGCTACTACCTGACCTCCAGATTTGGCTCTAAGAGGTCTCTCCCTCCAGTACATCTTTGTCAGCACCCAAAACTGACAGGGGGGCTCCTAAAATGTGCTCCCACAGTATCTGTGACAATGGATTGCAACTGTAATCATGAAGAAGAGATGATGCTTCTTCAATGTTACAAAACCTGCTTTAGCTCCATCTTTCTAATTAACAGAACCAAGAAACTTCCCTAATACTTTCAACAAGAAATTATACGCCACCGGCATCCTACAGTTTCACTGAGAGAGAGAAAAGGAAAAAGAATCTAGGGAATCAAAAAGAAATATGGTCTCAGTTCTGGGGTTCAGAAAGGATCTTGAAGTTCAGACATTGTCTGGGTCCATTGGTTTTAGAAAACGTATGGGATCCTGTCAAGCGTGAGCTGCTCTACTGGGAGATGCGGGGGAAACTTAGTTCATGGTTATGTTTCAAAAATATTGTGATGCTTACACAATTATGGGGGGAAAAACATATAATTGCACCCTTGAAATGGGTAAATTGTATGGTAGGTGAATTCTATCTCAAACAAGTGTTATTAAAAATAATAATATTTGGGTTTGATTCAGATCATGGTCTAAGAGTTTATTTTAGTTCATAGTTTATCTTCAGTTAAGATCGAGCCATGTGAAGAAACCAAGTAAACATAAAAAAAATATGGGAACCATTTCAATATCTGACCCAGAGCAATTGTAATAGGCCCAAATCTCTCGGTGACATAACCAAACAGCCCTGCAAAGGCCTTCTCTTAGGTGTTTCAAGTCAGCGTTTCTGAAGAACAAGAGATGTGCAACGCGGTATCCAGAACGACCAAAGAAGCCTAATGGTTGATGTGCTCTAGAGCAACTGAAGGTGTTAAGTCAGTAATAACCATTGTTCCTAAGTTATTATTATTATCATTATTTTAAAAGATTTTATTTATCTTTAGAAGGGAAGGGAAGAAGAGAGGGAGAGAAATATCAATGTATGGTTGCCTCTCACGCGTCCCCTGCTGGGAGCTGGCCTGCAACCCAGGCCTGTGCCCTGACTGGGAATCGAACCGTGATCCTTTGGTTCGCAGGCCCTCACTCAGTCCACTGAGCTACACCAGCCAGGGCCTAAGTTATTTCTAAAAAGATACAACCTGGCTGGTGTAGCTCAGTGGATTGAGCGCGGGCCTGCGAACCAGACAATCGCGGTTCGATTCCCAGTCAGGGCACATACCTGGGTTGCGGACCAGTTCCCTGCAGGCCAGTTCCCAGCAGGGGACGCACGAAAGGCAACCATACATTGATGTTTCTCTCCCTCTCTCCTTCCCTTCCCCTCTAAAGATAAATAAAATATTAAAAAAAATAAAATAAAAAATAAAATAAAAAGATACAAAAAGTTGAACATAAGGGTATGTCCCTTAGGGGAGAGTTAAAGGAGAGAAAATGACTGGTGTAGAACTTTCCTAAAAATCCTGTGTTGGAATTTAGTAGAAGGATAACCTTCATAATCAATAAAACAAAGCATATAAAGGTCAGGAATTGGGAAATGCCACAGATTCAACCAATGTACAATCCGTGAATGTGTTTCCCTCCTTATTAATAAGGCATAATCACCACACATTGAAGAAAATATCTTCTCAGGAGGTGCTTCTTAAGACTTGATGTTCAACATGGTCTACCCTAGGATGCTGAAATTTGTGAAAGAAGGAGTTTGGATTAGTTTTCTAAGCTTTTGGTCTTACAAAAATTACATGCTCTATATAAGAACTCTGGTGTTACCCTCGCTGGTGTGGCTCAGTGGACTGGGTACCAGCCTGTGGACCAAAAAGTTGCTGGTTCAATTTCCCATCAGGGCACATGTCTGGGTTGCTGGCCAGATTCCCCAGTTGGGGGTGTGCCAGAGGAAACCAATCAAAGTATCTCTCACACACTGCTGTTTCTCTCTCTCTTTCTCCCTCCCTTCCCTTCTCTCTAAAAGTAAATAAATAGAAATCTTAAAAAAAACCTCTGGTGTCTTGTAAATACAAAGGTAACATAAGCTATATTTTATTTACCTATTTATAATTTATAAGCCATCTTCTCTCAAAAAGATTTAAGACCGTCAAGTGCAAAGTGCATTGGTCAGAAAAAGACCTCTGGGCACATATTAATGGGTCTTTTTTGCCCATCATCATCTTTAAATAGCAGAGTTCCTAGCACATAGTAGGTGCTCAAAATATATATTAACCTATTGATGACTAGATAAACATGAGGGCAAAGATAAAATTCAGGAGGCTAGAGGAAGGTATCATAGAGCAACGCACAAATGTGCATCAAGATGCACGTTTCATTAACTCAGAAACTCTAGAATCAGGAGGAGCACCTAGTGCTGACATCCTGTATGGCTATTATTTTAGCTGCTCACTTATCCTTCACCTACTATGTCCCAGCACTAGGTATAAAGTGGTGAACAATACATGTAGCTTAACTAGTCTTTTCTGTCAAATGACAGGGAACACAGGGCGTATGTGATCAAAGAGGGCCGATCAGAGATTTACCTGAGATTTTTCTGTGAATGGGAATGAGACCTGACTTTGGCCCAGACACCCACGTAAAGTTTCATCTGCACTTCCCCAAGGTTTCCTCAATTCTGTTAGTTATCTTGGATGTTTTATAAAAATCCTCTTGCAATTAAAAAATTCTAATATAACTTTAATATACATGCCAGACTAGTGAGGCTGAGGGATGCTAAATGACTTACCTGACCTGGAAATAGAACACAGGTCTTGTGACTGTCAACCTTGAAGCTATTTATAAGTCCAAGTTAAAAAAAAGCTTTAGAGAAAGGAATCAGCACACAGTACCTCATGAACCACTGAGCCCAGCAGAAAGTCGAGCCTCTGGCACAGCTCTCCAAGGTTGGATAAACTGCTGGCCCTGTGAGCGCTATCTGGATCTCTCGCTCCCCTCAGGAAGGTGTGGATCAGAGGTTCTCGGTACTTGGAGACCATATCCCCTACAGAAAAAAGGAAGAAATCAAAATCTTTTAAAGCAAATTATCAACTTCTTAAAGAAGGAATAATGACATTAGCATGGTGTTTTATACTCTTTAAAGTACTTGCATAACCATTAAAAAATCATGCTCTGGAAGAGGCAGGAAGAAGACTAATAATCGACCATTAGACTGAGTAACAATGAGGTCACTATTGACCTTGAAAAGAACAGTTTTGGAAAACTGGTTAATGCCATCAGAGAGTCAAGCAGAGGTTGCTTAGAGAACATAATCTCATTTATCTCAGCCACTTAAAAGGGGAGGAAGAGAAAGTTTGTTTGTTTTCCCTTAAGGTCAAAGTACTTTCCATTCAATTTAAGAAAAAGACAATAACCAGAGGGGCAGAGAGAGAGGGTTAATGGGGAAAAATTGGGGAAGGTCCATCAGGGAACATGTATAAAGGACATATGGAAAAAGCCAAAGCAGGTAGGTTCAAGGGTGAGAAGCAAGGATGGGGGGGGGGCGTGGTGGGGTGAAAATAAATACAACTATATTTGAACAACAGTAATAAAAAAAATTTAAAAAGAAAGAAAAAGATGAGAACCATTTCTCTAAAATGCTTCCAGTTCCTAACATACTACATGCAGTCGTAAGACTCATCCCTTGCCCAGGGAACATCAACATATATTGTGGAAAATGAATCAGTGGTGACAGCCACAGCCTGTTTTCAGGATAGAGGGGACTCTGTGCCTATTCTTAGATTGCAGTTCTGAAAACCAGCCCTGGAGAGGCAGTCAAATAAATGCACACAGATGTCCACATAAATATTTTCCCGCAGAAGTGTAATAGTGAAAATGAGAAGAAACAAATTAAATATTAATTAATATGGAAGTGGTTAATAACCACATATATTATGGAATACTATGCAGTTAATAAAAGGAACAGAAATACATGCACTAATATAATATGAAAAGACCCTGTTAAGCAAAAGAAACTAACAGAACCAGCGTCATCCCATTAGGTATGTAAAAATGCACACACAAAACTCCCATTATCAACAAACCAAACTTACAAATTTAAGTAAGTATATAAAATACACAAATGCATAGAAAAAAAGAATGTTCTCAGTACTGAAGATAATACAGCTTGAACAAGAAGGCCAAGTCCCCATTTTCATGAAGCCTACTTCCAGTGGGGGGAGAAAGATGAGACAGTACATTAAGCTTCCAGCAGCAATTAGGGGTGTGATGAAAAAGAGGGAAGGTGGGGGTTGGGGAGGGATTGAGAGCTGGGGTGAGGGCTCAGGGAAAAGTTCTCAGGGGAGAAGACTTGGAGGAACAAGTCATATGAGAACTGGGCAGGGAAGGGAGTGAAGAGAAGAAAGGACAATGGAAATTTTATACTCTGTGTAGAAATCATATGGCTGTTTCTTATACTGACCCACCATAACAGAAAAGAACATATCATTACATTTAAAAAAATCCCAATTTAATGTTCCATTTATGTAATTCCTGCCGTGCCTGAGCTTTGTTACTACTTCCCAAATGAGCAGCCATTTAACTGCATGTGTCCCACCAAGACCGCCATCCCCACGTACACCTAACAACCGAAGGAGCCAGTGGGAAGGTCTGCATGTCAAGAGCCACACACTGTACCCAGTCGGCTGGCTGTGCGCCCACTTGGGACCTTGTTTTCCAGGCCCCGAACTGGAAGATCTGGAACACCTTCTGCATCCACTCTGCACTGCTCAAAGTACCCTGACATCATGTTCTCCGTAACCTGTTCTCTCAGACCTCACGTACACAGCCTAGATTTGTCGCCCCTTTGCTCAAACCTGTTCTTCAAGCAAGAAGCTCTGCTTCCACTTCCTGGGGGGTCTGCTAGCCTCCCTCCTCCTAGCTCCTAGCATGCTGTGTGGCTGGTTTCTCAAGACTGGACTGAATCCTAGTCTCCGAGTTCGGTTTCTATGCAGAACAAAATGAATGTAGTTAGAGAACAAAACTTCCAGGGCTGCAATTTGACACAGGCATAGCACTTAAAGATCCTACCTAAAGGGTTTTTAATTTGAGCTTTAGAGATCCCTGTATGTCAGATATTGTTGTGTACATCTCATTGCCATTCTCCCATTCTTTCTTGCAAATAGCACTCTAATTCTGTTGAAGTAGCTACCTTCCCCTGGGCCCTAACCACCACCAGTGCTATTAGGGCAAAGGTCTTCACTGGTCCAAGTGAGTCATGATGGACTATCTCCTTCCCTTAAGTGGCTTAGGTATAGGCATGGGACCCAGGCTGGGCAATGAGATGGTGAAGGAAAATCTGCTGGAACCTCTGAGAAAATGTTTTCCCTCTGGCTGTGTTAAAGATATGACACCTTAGAGGTGCTACTGCCAACTTGAAACTATGAGGGACCAGAGGAACAGGCCAAAAAGCTGAGGTTGGCAGAGCAGAAAGACGACAAGAATTTGGGTCTTGAATGATGTCACGGAGCCAAAGAATGAACCGGTGCTGAATTTCTGTTATGTGCGGTGATTGATTCCCTATTGTTTAAGCCAGTTGAGTTGGGGATTTCCGTACCTACACCTAAAATCATTTAACTGATATACTATGAAAACTGGAATGTTTTTGCAAATTGTAGAGTACTTTCTATGTCAGTTCCATGTCTATCAGTACGAAACCAGAAAAGTTAGATTTTCTAAAACAAAGGAATTTAAGACAGCATATGTTTTTTGAAGGCTTCAAAAGTCAATTTTATAACTAATATAAAACAGAAGAAAAACTTAAACCCAATAATTTTTCTTCTAATTACCATTTTAATTGGGATAAAAGTCTAGGAGACAGCATAGCTCTTATAATATCACTAGTATATATGACTTTCCCATTTGCCAACCTTTTTTTAAAAAGGTAACTATTCACAGTAGCAGCTCATGTGCAGAGAGCTATATGCTGAGTGCATTTCACAACTATTGACCTAGCTCATTACGAACTAAAATCACAGCTCCACAATACCCGCAACTATTCTTTAGTTTCTGATCAAGCAACCAAATCTCAATTATCCTATCCACTCTTGGTTTTAGTTTGTTTGTTTGTTTGTTTTTGGTTAAAAAAAACAACGATGAAATAGTATTCCTGATCCAGTTAAATTTATTTGAACCACAAAGTGCTAATCCCTAATTCACTTTTTGTCTGAAAGATGACATACACTTGACCCCTGACAAGGGCGAACATTCATACCCTCCCTGAGCTGTCTCCTTAAACATATACCTATTATATGGCTTTTACAAAAGAATGGTACTGACTTCTGAACTCCTTCATCTCCATTCTCAGAAAGGCATCACCACAGGCTACAACATAGACCAACGGTTACCCATGGAACTGAAGTGAGAGAGACCATCACCTTTCCCTCAGGATTTCTAAATAGCTTCAGGGAAATGAACACAGTTAAGTAAATCCAAGCCCATTTTAGAAACTTACTCAAGTAGATGCTGGTTGGAAGGGTTCATCTGAGTACACAGCATTAATGAATTCTACCTTGTGCAGTGATAATGGCAACACCTGGCTATCTGCATCTTCATGTTCTTGTCAGGATGTCAGCAATAATCAACTTTCCTGAGAGGCAAACAGCTGCGTATTCAAGGAAGCAAGTCTGAAAGATCTATAATTGTTTGAACAAACTTGATAAAAATGAGTTGCGTTGGGAGGTGAAAAATCAAGTGCATACTACAATAGAGAGCTGGAAAATTTTAACCCACCTATGCCTTGCTTATATCAATTATCATGTATGTGATGAGATTCTTTTAACAAATTAGGATTTGGAAGATTTTTATCCAGCTTTTCAATGGTACTCTGAAGTCTAGACTGAGTGTCTCACTTAGCATATACCACTTTCTTCCATAAAGAACCTCAGATGATTTACACAGTGAAAGTACGCTACCAAATCTGAATTAACACAATAACTTTTAGAGTCAGGGGACCTGCTGATTTTTTTTTCTTTTTTTAAAAGATTTTGCCCTGGCTGGTGTAGCTCAGTGGATTGAGTGCGGGCCTGCGAACCAGGCAATCAGGGTTCGATACCCAGTCAGGGCACATGCCTGGGTTGCAGGCTGGTTCCCTGCAGGCCAGTTCCCAGCAGGGGACACACAAGAGGCAACCACACATTGATGTTTCTCTCCCTCTCTCCTTCCCTTCCCCTCTAAATATAAATAAATAAAATCTTTAAAAAAAGATTTTATTTATTTTTAGAGAGGGGGAAGGGAAGGAGAAATAAAGGGAGAGAAACAGGCCCTGGCTGGCGTAGCTCAGTGGATTGAGTGCGGGCCTGCGAACCAGAGTATTGTGGTTCGATTCCCAGTCAGGGCACATGCCTGGGTTGCAGGCCAATTCCCAGCAGGGAGTGCATGAGAGGCAACCATACATTGATATTTCTCTCCCACTCTTTCTCCTTCCCTTCCCCTCTCTCGAGAAAATAAATAAATAAAATATTTATAAAAAAAACATGTGGTTTCCTCCCATGCACCCTCTACTGGGGACCTGGCCTGCAACCCAGGCATGCACCCTGACTGGGAATAGAACCAGCAACCTTTTGGTTTGCAGGCCCACACTCAATCCACTGAACTACGCCGGCCAGGGCTTTTTTCTTTTCTGTTGAACTTATTTATTGGGATGACACTGGTTAACAAAATTATATAGGTTTCAGGTGCACAACTCTACAACACATCATCTACACATTGTATTGTGTGTTCACCATAATAAGCTAGAAAGAAGAAAATGTTATTAAGAAAATCATAAGGGCCATGGTTGGTGTGGCTTGGTGGTTTGGGCATCCTCCTGTAAACGGGAGGGTTGCTGGTTTGATTCCCAGTCAGAGCACATGTCTGGGTTGCGGATTCGGTCCCCAGTCAGGGCGTATGTGAGAAGTGACCGATGGTTCTCTCTCACATCAATGTCTCTCCCTCCTGCCCCCTCTAAAAATAAATAAAATCTTTTTTTTAAAGAAACAAAATCTTAAGGCAAATTCAATTCCAGTA